CACCAGACAACGGCTTGTTTAAAAAGTATCAGTTGGTAAACATACCAAGAGATGATTGGTTATATTACACAAGACTAGTCAATTTGGTTTACAGTGTATTACGAATACCCGTCACAACCCCTACCGGTTGACCTGACCTGACCTGGCCCGACCTGGTCTAAATGCTTAAAAACATCATCTCTGAGCAAAACTAACACGATATTCGTGATCAGCACCCCGGAAAACCACACAGCAGCCACACTTTACAACTTTCTAACAGGTCCCGATTTTCCCGGTTTTCGGGTCATTGACCTGACCTGGAAGGTCACCCGATGACCTAGGACCTTAAAATTGGGTATCATCGGCTTCCTCTGGTGACGGGCAACACGCTCGTTTTTTTTTCCGCGAAGCTCTAGCTCGATCAGGGGCCAAACGCGAGGGGGGGTCGTACCAACCCCCCCCCCCCCCTTGTGCCGTCGAAGGACGCAAAATGGCCTGTGCCGGCGAGGGTTAAGAAACTAAGCTCTTGGGAGCGATTACCGTAGCTGAATGTTTTGCATCGAAATTGGCCGAACATGACGTCACTCTGACGTTATTTTCGGTTGACCTATGAGAAGCGAAGAAATTTTCATTGGAACACGAGGTGTCAAAGTGATGGAGCCGAAGGTTCAAGGTAGTAGGTACTGCAAGTTTCGTGTGCATGGATACGCCCAGTCGTTTGATGTTGCAGAAAAGCGAGGGGAGTTCTCTGTAGAGTCCCCCCCCCTCCCCACCCCCAGAGCGGGTTAATGGCAGCCGACCGATTACCTGTACCTACATTTGCAGCCCGATAATTCAACGTAGTACGGTTACAGGCAAAGCCTCTGGGCTTCAATCATTATCGTCGCTACGGGAATGGGGGGGGGGGGGCAGGCGGAGTAGCTTCCCCGCCCAAGCTCCGACCGTTTTAGCTTAATCGTTTTGAACTCGTTAGACATAAAATTTGTACCATCCTTTTTCCGTCGAGATGGTTCGAAACATGTATTTGATAGACCTCGGTAGTGGGTAGGTCACTTTCACTATTCGACCCACGTCAAGGTCAGGTCTTGTCTTGACCCAAGCAGGTCTTTTTGCACCTAGCGATCGACATGTCATGACAGTTTGGTACCACACTATTTACTAGTTTTAAGCAACATTATATCGTGGAAAAACTACTTTTCACCATATTTGACCTCAGATGACCTATCCATTTCAGTAAATGGTATCCGGTCATCCTCACCACTCCAGAACCGGTGAGGGCCCTTAGAAACTGGCGTGGGGCCAGCTGGGATAACTGGGCTTTTAGGTACCAGTGTGGGGCCCTCAGACTTCGGCCCCAAGAGACCTAAGGGGGTTGGGGCCCTTAACCCGCGAGTTGCTGGGGGGAGGCGTTAAACGCCCCCACTTTTTTCACCGGGCCATAGCATAAAAACGGCGCGCCGCAGGCGCGCCAAATTTGGGGTACCTGTAGGAAAATAATCGAAGTTTATTGTGACAAAGTTTCAAAAAAATCGGTCGGAAATTTTTTTAGATATCGAGGTTTTAGTGACGTCATGATTTCTGAGTTTTCGACCAAAAACGGCATATGTTCAAAAAATTATATAAAATCACAGAGTAGACATACAGACATGCCGTAAATGCCATTAGACTGCCAATATCATGAAAAATCAAATGGCTATCGTCGATTATTGATTATCGTTCCGCATTTTCCAAAATCTTGAACTGAGTCTTGGCAATTTCTCGTGACTACATCACGACCATGATACATGCATTTCTTAAATTGAACTTTTTTAGCCAAACACGTACACATATGATAAAATGCATGTCACCATCGTGTTCTACGCCCCAAATTACCCGTATACCATGTGTCACAGGCTGCGAATATCAGTTTTTATTTTCGGGGATATGTGCCTGCCCGGTTGACCTGACCTTGACCGTGACCTATGCTTGACTGACCCCTGCATGGAGCTGACACTCTTTTAGGCCTTATATGATGGATTGTGCACCGTTTCGACAGAGTTTATGACGAGAGGCGCCCATTGCGAAGTCCTGAAGTCCATGCTACTGAAAGCCCGATTTCAGGTGTTTGACCTGACCTGGACCTGACCTGTGACCTCAAAATTCAACTTTAAAGTACTCATCTGAAGCGTCTCGTCGCGTTCTTTCGTTTGCCGCCTCGTGCGTTTCGCTGCACCTATTGGTTCTCGAGTTATCGGCCATGGGGGCGTTTAACGCCCCCCCCCCCCCCAGCAAACGGTGGGTGGCGAAATACCCCAGCAACTGCCGGGTTAAGAGCCGGCGAGAGCCTTTCGATACTGGCCCATGGGGCCCTGAGATAACCTGCAAGATAACACCCGCACGTACAGCCCACCGCTAAAGTAATGTGTGAGTTTTACCAATCTCAACGGATGGCTTTGACCGACGATTTTTAAATGCGGACTGATTGAAAAGAAGACGTCAATAGACAAAGTTGTAGCTGCAAGGGTGAAGATATATGTAAGCTACATTTAAAGTCTCGTTGCAGTGTGGCTAATCGTTCCTAGGCTTCAGAAGCAGAACATACCCATGACTGAAACCACACATTACTTCTGCTGTGGACTGTACCTGTTTAGGACTTAAAGTTCCGGTGCGGGGCCATCAGGCTCGGGCTGGGGCCCTCGAGCATCGGGCTGAGACAAGCAAGCGCCTGTGAGAGCCCTTATTAGCCCGCATGAGCCCGCAATGAAATGTGGATGTGCAAAAATTAGTGTTTGCAGTTTGCACACATTGGGATTTTCACCGTCTGCAATTGCACATGCCCTGCCTCCCCGCTCGCCGGAATCCGCAGCCCCATTATCCAAAGTGTTTTTAAAAATATAATTATTCTGTATAATAAAATATCAACATCAGCGCAAAAGATCTACACGCAAAAGCTCTACAGTCTTGCTTTTTATAGAACACTAACACTTAGGTATGTTTAACGTTACGGTCCGTTTGAAAACTCGGCCCGTATAAATGCTGCCCGGCCCGTATCAATAATGACCGTAAGACCGGCCCGTATAAATTCGGGCCGGTCAGTAGGTAATCGGCCGGTAGGGCAGTTCTAATACCGACCGGGTGGTATTAGAACCCACTGTTTTCCTCACGGCCATATCAAAACTCGGGCCATATCAAAACTAAGCAAATAGTCACTATTCGATGTACCTACTACCTACCCATTAGCAACGTAGCCCTGCAGTGGACTTATATTTTAATGCTGTACAGTGGAATCTGCTTGATAAATCCTCGGATAATAAATCCAGCCGCTTATTGTGGCCGCTTGAGCCATAGGCGGCGGAACGGGGAGGGCACCGGGGCACCGTGCCCCCTTTTGATTTTGGCATTTTAACATTAGCCCTATGGGCGATGCATGGAAAGAATGGGACCAAAAGTCGGCAGTGCCCCCCCCCCCCCTTAATTGAAGGTGTTCCGCCGCTACTGGCTTGAGCTGTTCCCGGATTTTCTCCATGGATATTCATAGTTTATTAATCCGCTTAATAAAGTCACTTTGGAGTTTCGAAGTCTGCAGTGACGTCTCCCGACTCGAAATGTGGCATCCAACCCGCTCCTTAACTAAGGTCCGCTCCTTAACACTTAACTAAGGTCTGGTCACAAAGTCAAGTAGTCCTCTAAAAAAATGTGGTCCTTTAACCGTATAACTTATTTCCTAGAAGTTTGAAATTTTGTGTAGTGCAAGTGCAGGACTGCGGGATCGGAGCCGGAGGTTCACAGCTCGTCAGCTTGACTTGACAGCTCTGGCCAAAGTCGGAGCTGGAGTCACCGAAGTCGTTTGTACTTCGACTCCGAAGTCAGAGTCGACATTCTCTGGCTTGAAGTCATGCTCATTGCTCTTAACTGGTAAGTCGAAATTTATGAAGCCGTTTTAGCCGATCGTGGGCAGGTGGGATAAGAGCTGTAGGTTCTGTTGACCGTTGTGACTGGGGTGGACGGTGGTTGTATCAGTAAAGAGGTCAGACCAATATAGGCCCACATTGAGTATTCAAACCTCCTGGACCCTTTCATACCACACACCGTTCCGTCATTTCTATCCTCAGGACAGTCAAATCCCTCTCCTCCACGCCTCAACTCCTTGTTCCGGGCTGGACGGGCAACTTTATCCCACGCGGGAACCCCCGATAAGAGCACGCCCGTAACCGGGTGCGGTGACTGGTGTGTGCTTGGGGTGCTGGTCGGCCTGCCCTCTGGACGGGCTCAGCCTCGTCGACTCACCAGGGTGCTCACCCAGACCAAATGTCCCCCTCCCCCTCCCCTAATTCCCATCTCCTTCCGGCTCTGAAATGGTCTCGTCAGACCGGAAAGTCCTAACCCAATAAAAAAAATCCCAGACCGTGACGAGGTCCTCTGACCTCTCACACCAGCATCAGGTACTCTAAGGTCATGGTGAACTGGTGAGCCCCTTCGGCTGTCGTTTTGCCTAGCACGGGAGGATGGCCGTTTAGAAGTGGGGGTCTTGCTTGAGTATTGTGAATTAGAGGTGGCAAAAGGTGAAAATTTTTGGGAACCAGACTCGAACCAGACCCGACTGGACATTTCTGGAACCAGTCAGACCCGGTCCAAGTTGGAATCGGAACCAGTTGGACCCGTTCCCCAAAAGTCTAATAATGCAAATTATCTAATAATGCATTAGTTGCATCATGTAACACACCCTTTTCCCACTGGGAATACTCATAAGCTACAGTGTGCAAAGTAACATAGGTACACGAGCAAATGTTTTCTTTCCATTCACTTTATATTTTGCAATCATGTGTAGTGTGCAAGATGTAGGTATGGTTTATGGTAGGACCCGGTTGGACCCGTCAGAAAATTTCCAGGAACCGGTCTGGACCCATATGGGTCCAGACTGGGTCTTTGGACCGGGTCCTCGGATCCACATTTTGCCACCTGTATTGTGAATACTCGAATGTGTGGCTTATGCAGCTGTCACCCCACCCAGAGGACCGAACTTCAGCCTTTGGTGGGTGCACAGTCCACAGCAGAAGTAATGTGGGGTTTCAGTCATGGGTATGTTCTGCTTATGAAGCTTAGGAACGATTAGCCAGACTACAATGAAACTTTGAATGTAGCTTATATGTATCGTCACTCTTGCAGCTGCAACTTTAGCTATTGACATCAATGACATCTTCTTTTCGATCAGGCTCCGCATTAAACAATCGCCAGTCAAAGCCAACCGTTGAGATTGGTAAAACCCTACATTACTTTAGCGGTGTGCTGTACCTGAGCCGCTGAAGTGTCTGAGTTCTCAGTTGTACCGTCGAACTGACCAGCATCAGTATTCTTTTAAAAATGGTTTATTTCTGTTTAGGACATGACTCCATATTGAATGACCGTTATAAATAGTCACTTTTGAAATCCTTTATGGCCGATTTTTTTGGAGGCGACGTCCCCCCCCCCCGGATTCCTCGACTGCCGGCGGGGGGGGGGGCGTCCCCCGTCCCCCCGCTTTCGACGCCCATGCTATCTATAAACACTCTCAAACATCGGCTTATTGGAAAACATGACACACCCGAATATTGCACCCGTTACCCCTTTGTGTGACCCTGAGGTTATCTCAGGTCATGAAGGGTCACCAGTAGTTTTTTAACTATTTCTTTTGAATTGATATAAGAGACGACAGACGTGCTAGAGCGGTAAAAACATGTCAGATGTGTTCAACTCGGCGATACGGATCGACTGATATGCAGCATGACCCTTTCCGGTCAGGCCATGCCATGACCCGAGGTCAGATTTTCCAAATGACCTTAGAAGTCCGAATTTCATTCGACGCGACTCGACGAGGGGAACACGTTGCTGGCAAAAGTAATGTCGTGGCTCCCTTCATGCAAAATCTGTTACCTAAAACTTGTTTTCATATGAACCAGGGCTGCGGAGCCGTGGAAATTTCAGACGGTCCGGCTCCGGCTCCGGCTCCGAGTAAAATGGTCCGGCTCCGGCGGCTCCGGCTCCTTCTCAGTACATCCCCTATGCGATTAATTAAATACCTACGGGTGGAAGAGAAAGGGCGATTAAAATTGGATTGGTACACGTTGCCTCTGTATTTGCATAACAAGGCTAATTTGAATAGTGAATACCACATGGCCTTGTACTGTCAAACCGAACTAGGTCAATAATTTTTTCCTCTTAAAAAAAAAGAACCGGAGTCGCCCCCTTTTTTGACGGCTCCGGCTCCGGTTCCGGCTCCGGGCTATATTGTTTCACGGCTCCGGCTCCGGCTCTGGGCAAAATATGCCGCTCCGGCTGCTCCGGCTCCGGCTCCGCACCCCTGGTATAAACGGCTATTTTTATATTTTTTGCCCTCTGGAACATGGAATATATCACATAGGACAGGAAAAAGGTTAACTGTGAAGGAACGGGAGGAGCTGACGATGATAAGCGCGATCTGACAGTGAGATGAAGATCCTTGCGGAGGCTTGGTTACGGGGATAGTGGACACTACACGACTTATTAGGCACTTCTGGTGTGAAAACTGAAAGGGCAATTAATAAACCCACTTTCGGTATCGGTCTCCATTATCGACACTTCAGCCTACCTACATAGGGGAAGCACGGCATAGTAAGCTCTTTTTCATTTTTATTACATACCATACGTGCTGTATAAAACGTTGATATCCTGCTAGCTAGCTAAGTTCATTGGCCGTGTTTTCCCAAAAATTCGGTTTCGTGGAACAAGTATAAGGTTGAGAAAATCGAGTGTTAAAAAAGTGTTGATTTTTTTGGGGTAAGCCCGTCATAGGGGTAACGCCGGCCACGTCCCCAGCGCTTTACAACGAGTTGATGAAACCATTATGTGTTTTCCAAATATTAACGGAAAGTGAAATATTAAGGTACTGATTAGCTCTGGACATCTTGGATTTTATGTCACTACTGGTATTTTAGCTAGCGTCTACTATATATACAGTACAGGTCGATGAAAATCGTGATGCAAAATTGACAAAAAATTTGTATTTCAAAATTCCTTAAAATGTATTTTTCTTTTTACCTTAATGCATCATATTGCATATCATTCGACTCGGCTGATAAAGAAGAACATAACGACACCATTTTTAAAGCTCTAGCTTCATTGTCTGTCGCGTTATCTGCAAAAACGTAGTTTGACCCTAGTTGACCTTAAAGGTAGTGTGCCACCTTTGAAAGATTTCCCATTTTATTTTTCCTAGGATAAGAAGCTTCTGTTTTTACCTAATATCGCAAAAAAAATCAAAAATGGGCCTGGAATAGTGCCTTTTTCGCCTAAAAGTTTATCGGTTTTTCGATATGTATAACAACTGTAGTGGGCTCACTTGCAAACAGGCGTCGGCAACAATCGCGAATGCGGCGCACATGTGACAATAAGCAAAGGCCATTATAGAGTTACGAGTCTACGACGTACGGGAATGAGTTATCAGCTGTCTAATCGTAGACAACGCAATGTCGAGCCTTAAACTGTAAGCCTGTATTGGTATTGTTTCTTTTATTTGGCTGTCGAACATTATTTATGGTTTGAAATATGATTTTATGTAAAATAATTGATATGAAAAAGCCGTCTCTTAAGTTATGATCCCATTTCACCACACGCAAGTGGCAGAAATGACAATGATCAGCTGACGCATTTTTCTTGGCCGAAGTCAGAGCGCGCGGCCCGACGCACCACCACCGCACCACAAAGTATGAGCAGAAGCCGCGCCCAAAGCCAGGGCCCCGGTAACGTGAGGTAACCGAGTCGGGGCAGCGTGCGCTGACCCAAGCCGGGGCCGCAGCTTTGGGCGCGGTCTACCGCATCCCCGCGGGCAGCCCCGGGCTATCACATGACACCGGGAGGACGCGCGGCTCTGGCTTGGGTCAGCGCACGCTGCCCCGACTCGGCTACCTCACGTTACCGGGGCCCTGGCTTTGGGCGCGGTCTACCGCACCACCTAACAGGCGTGTTCGAAACCGCAGGAGATGACGATGAACGGGTTTATCGAAACTTGATTGGATGAGCATATCGGTAATAGCGATTTCAGTGTGTGCATTTATTGTTCATAGTGGTGTGAAATGTGGTTGGGGTACGACCGACAACCCGTCGGGGCGAATTTCGCACTGGGGTACTCAAAATTTGAAGAATTTAAGACGTTTCCATGAGTTTTGAAGGTATGGATAAGTTCTAAAAATCCGGTTCTCCTTATCTGGGCCATTAACTCCATACGGTCCAGGAAAGCTGGCACACTACCTTTAAGTGACATGACTGGCTTTGTCTATGATAACATGTTTATTTTCGAAATTTATCTTTGATCTAGGTGTAAACCAAACCTGCTCAGTACCTATTATCTCATGGAAAACAGTGGTTTAATGGCATTGCTCTCGGTTGGGGGTAAGCTTGGCCACTCGCCCGGGGTTACCCCAATGTGCTAATTCTTATTTTAGAACAGCGATATTCGAGAAAAAAAATGTCTGCCTCGTCACCCCTCACTACAAACACTTAAACGGTCCTAACATAACATTCGTATAAATATTAGTACTGTATGGTATAACATTAACAGTGCAACATATCTCACTTTTTAGCTAAAAACCCTTAATATATCATTTTTGCGCTATAACTTTAACAATATGCAATTTTTGTCAGGCGTTACCTTTTTGCTGGCGTTACCTTAGCTGCCACGCTGAAAGGACAAACAGTTGAGCATTTTCTTGTGAATAGTTTAGCCGGAAACGGGGTGGCCGGGCTTCCCCCGGCTTCCCCTACGTGCCGCGCTTGGATACGCTGCAATGCGTCTTCATGTCATATGTCAGGTTTGTAGTGGTATCGCAGCGATGTCGCTACCAGCAGCTACGCACCTCCGTCCGTTACGGTCCAAGGCGGACATGAGGACAGGTGGCGCCGCCGCCACTCGCATAGCGGCGGGAATGTGAACTAACCTGTTTACCATAAGGCCGCTGTGCTAACGGGCGCTGCGGGCGCCGTTTCGGGCTAGTTTTGACTTTGTACCGCAATTAATCATAGGCGCGGGAGCCGGGGGGGCAGTGGGGGCAGCTTGCCCCCCCAACTCTGGGGCCGTGGGGGCGGTGCCCCCACAGCTTTGAGACGGAATACCACACTTTTTTTGCAAATGTTTTCTTTTTTTGTTGAAAAAGCCGAGGGGTGAAAAATAAGTGGCCTAAAACCGGTGAGAAAACTAGATTTGGGGGTACCCTAGGTTGATCTCTATTATGGTGTGCCCCCCCCAGTCGGAAAGTAGTTCCCGCGCCCCTGCAATTAATGGTTTATTTATAATAAAAAATGGACTAGCGAGAGTCGTCCCGGAATCAGAATTCAATGTTCTACAAAACTAAGCCATTTTCATTGTGATCACGTCATCGACTTCACCGCCCAACCCAATAAAGCAGAAATATGTCGTGTCAGGTGATTACACGCAAAAATTCTTTGGCATATAGCATAAAAACAAGAACACCTTTGACTGCAGCGACTATGCGGTACTACAGAAAATTTTATGGCCTACCTAATGGTGCCCATTACTTAATAATTAAGCTGAGTATTTCGTCGCCTAACTCTTGTAAAACCGTATGTCCGCTTGTCTATGGAGTTTGGACCGTAACGCTTGAGGATGTAAGGTCATTATAGGGATGCCACTGTATAGAGACTCAGTGATGTCATACAATTCCGTCACTTAGGAACCGTACGTGCCACCACCTATCGGACAGCCATTGAACTAATAGTTTACAGCTTGTACAACAGATGTCACTATTTTGGATGATACGGTCTTGTATGCTGCGGTGCCAAAAATGTTTTTTTGGATGATACGGTTTTGGATGCTGCACCCTTGGATGTTTCACTCTTGGATGCTGCAATTCCTCGTCCTTGGTTGCTGCCAATTTGGATGATACGATTTTGGATGCTGCGGTCCTGGATGTTGCAGTTTTGGATGTTTCGCTCTTGGATGCTCTGAATCATCCCTAAGGGGTCGGTTTTGGATGTTATTTGGACGTTTTGATCGCTGGATGCAAAGGTTTTGGATGTTGCGTCCCTTGGATGTTGCGCTCTTGGATGC